TTTTAGCACTGGCTACAAATATTCTCTATTTTTGAAAGCATCTATGGTTGATGCTTTTATCTATTTCTCTATCGTGACTCCAAAGCTCGGCTGCAGCTTGAGCCAAGGCATATTTCTAGTTTTGTGACTTCTGTCACTTTTAATAGCTCTAACATAATTCTGATTCTAATATTTTAGCTGCTCTATCAGAAGGATAACATTATATACTATTATTTTAACTCTTATGTCTTTATGAACAAAGGAAATGCTTATTTATTTAACATCTACTAAAACACTACAATACCCAACAAAGCCATAAATGGTTCCTTCTTATCTTCAACCAAACCCAGAGTCTGCTGGGTCCTAAAGAGTCAGAACCCCAGAGTCTGCTGGGTCCTAAAGAGTCAGAACACCAGAGTCTGCTGGGTCCTAAAGAGTCAGAACCCCAGAGTCTGCTGGGTCCTAAAGAGTCAGAACCCCAGAGTCTGCTGGGTCCTAAAGAGTCAGAACCCCAGAGTCTGCTGGGTCCTAAAGAGTCAGAACCCCAGAGTCTGCTGGGTCCTAAAGAGTCAGAACCCCAGAGTCTGCTGGGTCCTAAAGAGTCAGAACACCAGAGTCTGCTGGGTCCTAAAGAGTCAGAACACCAGAGTCTGCTGGGTCCTAAAGAGTCAGAACACCAGAGTCTGCTGGGTCCTAAAGAGTCAGAACACCAGAGTCTGCTGGGTCCTAAAGAGTCAGAACACCAGAGTCTGCTGGGTCCTAAAGAGTCAGAACACCAGAGTCTGCTGGGTCCTAAAGAGTCAGAACACCAGAGTCTGCTGGGTCCTAAAGAGTCAGAACACCAGAGTCTGCTGGGTCCTAAAGAGTCAGAACACCAGAGTCTGCTGGGTCCTAAAGAGTCAGAACACCAGAGTCTGCTGGGTCCTAAAGAGTCAGAACACCAGAGTCTGCTGGGTCCTAAAGAATCAGAACACCAGAGTCTGCTGGGTCCTAAAGAGTCAGAACACCAGAGTCTGCTGGGTCCTAAAGAATCAGAACACCAGAGTCTGCTGGGTCCTAAAGAATCAGAACGCCAGAGTCTGCTGGGTCCTAAAGAGTCAGAACACCAGAGTCTGCTGGGTCCTTTATGACTCATAAAGCCCAGTGGAATCAGCTTCATCCACGTTAAAGACGTACCTACCCTCTCTCTCCTCTCCCCCCTCTCTCGCACCCCCCCCCCCCCCCTCACCTGGTGGTGGGGGCCTTGAGGACCTCCTGCTGCAGTCTGGGGAAGGTCCCTGGAGTGAAGCGTCCTTGTCCGATCCTCATCCTGAGGAGGTGAGGGAGCACAGCTGTGTGGGCCACCCTCTGGTACCTCTGCTCCACCGCCTGGACTAGAACAACACCTCAGACACCAGCAGCAGTCTCTCCGGTCTCCCTCTCCGGTCTCCCTCTCCGGTCTCCCTCTCCGGTCTCCCTCTCCGGTCTCCCTCTCCGGTCTCCCTCTCCGGTCTCCCTCTCCGGTCTCCCTCTCCGGTCTCCCTCTCCGGTCTCTCTCTCCGGTCTCTCTCTCTGGTCTCTCTCTCTGGTCTCTCTCTCTGGTCTCTCTCTGGTCTCTCTCTGGTCTCTCTCTGGTCTCTCTCTGGTCTCTCCCTCTGGTCTCTCTCTCTGGTCTCTCTCTGGTCTCTCTCTCTGGTCTCTCTCTGGTCTCTCTCTCTGGTCTCTCTCTCTGGTCTCTCTCTCTGGTCTCTCTCTGGTCTCTCTCTGGTCTCTCTCTCGTCTCCCTCTCCGGTCTCCCTCTCCGGTCTCTCTCTCTGGTCTCTCTCTGGTCTCTCTCTGGTCTCTCTCTGGTCTCTCTCTGGTCTCTCTCTCTGGTCTCTCTCTGGTCTCTCTCTGGTCTCTCTCTCTGGTCTCTCTCTCTGGTCTCTCTCTGGTCTCTCTCTGGTCTCTCTCTGTCTCTGGTCTCTCTCTGGTCTCTCTCTGGTCTCTCTCTGGTCTCTTACCAGCCTGCTGCAGCTGGTAGGTGGTGGCCCGTTGCTGGTAGAGCCTTCTGGTCTGTATGCGCTGGTCGAACAGCCTCAGCTGCGCCTCCTGCTGGTTCCACTGAGACATGATCTTGTTGTCGATGAAGGAGGCGAACATCTGAGTCTCAATGAAGCGAGCGAGGAACGGGAGGAGGTGCTCAGGCTGCTCCGACAGGAAGGAGGCCTGAGGGAGACCAGAGTGAGACCAGAGAGAGAGACCAGAAAGAGACCAGAGAGAGACCAGAGTGAGACCAGAGAGAGAGACCAGAAAGAGACCAGAGAGAGACCAGAGAGAGAGACCAGAGAGAGAGACCAGAGAGAGACCAGAGAGAGACCAGAGAGAGACCAGAGAGAGAGACCAGAGAGAGAGACCAGAAAGAGACCAGAGAGAGACCAGAGACCAGAGAGAGACCAGAGACCAAAAAGAGACCAGAGAAAGACCAGAGAGAGAGACCAGAAAGAGACCAGAGAGAGACCAGAGAGTGACCAGAGAGAGACCAGAGAGAGACCAGAGAGAGAGACCAGAGGGAGAGAGACCAGAGAGAGAGACCAGAGAGAGAGACCAGAGAGAGACCAGAGAGAGACCAGAGAGAGACCAGAAAGAGAGACCAGAGAGAGACCCGAGAGAGAGACCAGCGGGAGACCAGAGAGAGACCAGAGACCAAAAAGAGACCAGAGAAAGACCAGAGAGAGAGACCAGAAAGAGACCAGAGAGAGACCAGAGAGTGACCAGAGAGAGACCAGAGAGAGACCAGAGAGAGAGACCAGAGGGAGAGACCAGAGAGAGACCAGCGAGAGACCAGAGAGAGACCAGAGAGAGAGACCAGAGGGAGACCAGAGAGAGAGACCAGAGAGAGACCAAGAGAGAGACCAGAGAGAGACCAAAGAGAGACCAGAGAGAGACCAGAGAGAGACCAGAGAGAGACCAGAGGGAGATCAGAGAGAGACCAGAGAGAGACCAGAGAGAGACCAGAGGGAGATCAGAGAGAGAGACCAGAGAGAGACCAGAGAGAGACCAGAGAGAGAGACCAGAGAGAGACCAGCGAGAGACCAGAGAGAGACCAGAGAGAGAGACCAGAGAGAGAGACCAGAGGGAGAGACCAGAGAGAGACCAGCGAGAGAGACCAGAGAGAGACCAGAGAGAGACCAGAGAGAGAGACCAGAGAGAGACCAGAGAGAGACCAGAGAGAGACCAGAGAGAGACCAGAGGGAGATCAGAGAGAGAGACCAGAGAGAGACCAGAGAGAGACCAGAGGGAGATCAGTGAGAGAGACCAGAGAGAGACCAGCGAGAGACCAGAGAGAGACCAGAGAGAGACCAGAGAGAGACCAGAGAGAGAGACCAGAGAGAGACCAGAGAGAGACCAGAGAGACCAGAGAGAGACTAGAGAGAGACTAGAGAGAGACCAGAGAGAGACTAGAGAGAGACCAGAGAGAGACCAGCGAGAGACCAGAGAGAGACCAGAGAGAGACCAGAGAGAGAGACCAGAGAGAGACCAAAGAAAGACCAGAGAGAGACCAGAGAGAAAGACCAGAGAGAGACCAGAGAGAGACCAGAGAGAGACCAGAGAGAGACCAGAGGGAGACCAGAGAGAGAGAGCACCTTGTCAAAGTTGTGCATGTTCTCTCGTGCAGTGAGCCAGCTGTGTAGGTCTGAGCAGCTGTGGATCACGAAGGCGTCGTAGTCACAGAACATGGCGACGAAGCGTGCGGCGAACACTTCTCTGAGCTGCGTGTTCAAGATGGCCGCCTTCTTCTCCTGCTGCAGCCGACCACTCAGGCCCCGCCCCTCCTGCTGAGAAGAGAGGTCTAAACATGAGCTGGAGCTAGTTTCCTTATATGGGCATTTGTCAGGACGCTAGTAGCTTAGCATCGTAACAGGAAACATGTTGCTAAGGCAAACTGTTTCCCTGAATGAAGGCCTCTGATTGGTCAGTCCTTATATGGTCATAATCATAACTGGATTTACAAAGACACATCACAGATAAACACAGGAAACAGAGAAACCACAGATTTCAGCCCAAACTGGTGATGTCACACGTTACTGAGACAGAGGAGTTTACTTTGACATGAAAGTCAATAGGAGCCAAACTTCACCATGAGCACTTCCCTTTGGGCTTCATTGAGCTTGAGGAGTAACTACTAGTCTGTCTCCCTCTGGTCTCTCTCTGGTCTCTCTCTGGTCTCTCTCTGGTCTCTCTCTGGTCTCTCTCTGGTCTCTCTCTGGTCTCTCTCTGGTCTCTCTCTCTGGTCTCTCTCTCTGGTCTCTCTCTCTGGTCTCTCTCTCTGGTCTCTCTCTGGTCTCTCTCTCTGGTCTCTCTCTGGTCTCTCTCTGGTCTCTCTCTCTGGTCTCTCTCTCTGGTCTCTCTCTCTGGTCTCTCTCTCTGGTCTCTCTCTGGTCTCTCTCTGGTCTCTCTCTGGTCTCTCTCTGGTCTCTCTCTGGTCTCTCTCTGGTCTCTCTCTGGTCTCTCTCTGGTCTCTCACACTGGTCTCTCTCTCTCTGGTCTCTCTCTCTCTGGTCTCTCTCTCTCTGGTCTCTCTCTGGTCTCTCTCTGGTCTCTCTCTGGTCTCTCTCTGGTCTCTCTCTGGTCTCTCTCTGGTCTCTCTCTGGTCTCTCTCTGGTCTCTCCCTGGTCTCTCCCTGGTCTCTCCCTGGTCTCTCCCTGGTCTCTCGCTGGTCTCTCTCTGGTCTCTCTCTGGTCTCTCTCTGGTCTCTCTCTGGTCTCTCTCTGGTCTCTCCCTGGTCTCTCGCTGGTCTCTCTCTGGTCTCTCCCTGGTCTCTCCAGGTGTTGTGCTCACCTGGGGGTGCGGCCCGTGGACCCCCGCCCTCAGCGCCCTGACCTGGGTCACAGAGACTCGGGCTCGCCGGGTCAGGGCCTCCAGACGCTGCAGGGTCTGGTTCTTCTGCAGCAAATCCAGGACCTCAGAGGGGACGTTCCCGTTACACTGGTCCTGGAGACTGAGGGGGTCCAGAGGGGGAGGACTGAGGGGGTCCAGAGGGGGAGGACTGAGGGGGTCCAGAGGGGGAGGACTGAGGGGGGCCAGAGGGGGAGGACTGAGGGGGGCCAGAGGGGGAGGACTGAGGGGGGTCAGAGGGGGAGGACTGAGGGGGGCCAGAGGGGGAGGACTGAGGGGGTCCAGAGGGGGAGGACTGAGGGGGTCCAGAGGGGGAGGACTGAGGGGGGCCAGAGGGGGAGGACTGAGGGGGGCCAGAGGGGGAGGACTGAGGGGGGTCAGAGGGGAGGACTGAGGGGGGCCAGAGGGGGAGGACTGAGGGGGGCCAGAGGGGGAGGACTGAGGGGGCCAGAGGGGGAGGACTGAGGGGGGCCAGAGGGGGAGGACTGAGGGGGGCCAGAGGGGGAGGACTGAGGGGGGTCAGAGGGGGAGGACTGAGGGGGGCCAGAGGGGGAGGACTGAGGGGGGCCAGAGGGGGAGGGGTGATGGGGGCCAGAGGGGGAGGGGTGAGGGGGAGAGGGGAGCTCCTCTGGGGGTCTCTGGCTGGCTGTGGAGACCCAGGACCTGAGCTGGTCTCTGGGGCAGAGTGTCGCTGGAGAATGTCCTTCAGCTCCAGGATGAGTTCCTCCTGAAGCGGGAACTGAGGGAAGTCCTCAGGGACGTCCACGGAACTATTATCCAGGTCCACGAAGCACAGGTTGGCCTAAAGACAGAGACATCAGGGTCTACAGCCTCAGTCCTGGGTCTACAGCCTCAGTCCTGGGTCTACAGCCTCAGTCCTGGGTCTACAGCCTCAGTCCTGGGTCTACAGCCTCAGTCCTGGGTCTACAGCCTCAGTCCTGGGTCTACAGCCTCAGTCCTGGGTCTACAGCCTCAGTCCTGGGTCTGCAGCCTCAGTCCTGGGTCTACAGCCTCAGTCCTGGGTCTACAGCCTCAGTCCTGGATCTACAGCCTCAGTCTGGGTCTACAGCCTCGGTCCTGGGTCTACAGCCTCAGTCCTGGGTCTACAGCCTCAGTCCTGGGTCTACAGCCTCAGTCCTGGGTCTACAGCCTCGGTCCTGGGTCTACAGCCTCAGTCCTGGGTCTACAGCCTCAGTCTGGGTCTACAGCCTCGGTCCTGGGTCTACAGCCTCAGTCCTGGGTCTACAGCCTCAGTCCTGGGTCTACAGCCTCAGTCCTGGGTCTACAGCCTCAGTCCTGGGTCTACAGCCTCAGTCCTGGGTCTACAGCCTCAGTCCTGGGTCTACAGCCTCAGTCCTGGGTCTACAGCCTCAGTCCTGGTCCTGGTGCCGGTACCTCTTGCGGCAGGTCCAGCTGGGATCGGTCTTGTCCCTGGAGTCCCATCAGATAAGGGACAGGAGCGTCCAGGAAGTGTGAGAGAGCGGCCGGCAGCAGAGGCACGTACACATGCTGCCACTGGAACGGGAAGAGCAGCGAACACATGACCTCCCCCACGACCACGAGGAGCTGAGGATCTGCACAATACACAGTGAGACCAGGAGAGACCAGGAGAGACCAGGAGATACCAGGAGAGACCAGGAGAGACCAGGAGAAACCAGGAGAGACCAGGAGAAACCAGGAGAGACCAGGAGAAACCAGGAGAGACCAGGAGAAACCAGGAGAGACCAGGAGAAACCAGGAGAGACCAGGAGAAACCAGGAGAGACCAGGAGAAACCAGGAGAGACCAGGAGAGACCAGGAGAGACCAGGAGAGACCAGGAGAGACCAGGAGAAACCAGGAGAGACCAGGAGAAACCAGGAGAGACCAGGAGAAACCAGGAGAGACCAGGAGAAACCAGGAGAGACCAGGAGAGACCAGGAGAGACCAGGAGAAACCAGGAGAGACCAGGAGAAACCAGGAGAGACCAGGAGAGACCAGGAGAGACCAGGAGAGACCAGGAGAAACCAGGAGAGACCAGGAGAAACCAGGAGAGACCAGGAGAAACCAGGAGAGACCAGGAGAGACCAGGAGAGACCAGGAGAGACCAGGAGAGACCAGGAGAAACCAGGAGAGACCAGGAGAAACCAGGAGAAACCAGGAGAGACCAGGAGAGACCAGGAGAGACCAGGAGAGACCAGGAGATACCAGGAGAAACCAGGAGAGACCAGGAGAGACCAGGAGAGACCAGGTGCGACCTGTAGCCTGAAATGTCATTCTCTCTCTGGTCTCTCTCTCATCAGTAGCATTAGCATCAGTAGCATTAGCATCAGTAGCATTAGCATCAGTAGCATTAGCATCAGTAGCATTAGCATCAGTAGCATTAGCATCAGTAGCATTAGCATCAGTAGCATTAGCATCAGTAGCATCAGTAGCATTAGCATCAGTAGCATTAGCATCAGTAGCATTAGCATCAGTAGCATTAGCATCAGTAGCATCAGTAGCATTAGCATCAGTAGCATTAGCATCAGTAGCATTAGCATCAGTAGCATCAGTAGCATTAGCATCAGTAGCATTAGCATCAGTAGCATTAGCATCAGTAGCATTAGCATCAGTAGCATTAGCATCAGTAGCATTAGCATCAGTAGCATCAGTAGCATTAGCATCAGTAGCATTAGCATCAGTAGCATTAGCATCAGTAGCATCAGTAGCATTAGCATCAGTAGCATTAGCAGCATCAGTAGCATTAGCATCAGTAGCATCAGTAGCATTAGCATCAGTAGCATTAGCATCAGTAGCATTAGCATCAGTAGCATTAGCATCAGTAGCATTAGCATCAGTAGCATCAGTCCTCACCCTGAGAGTACAGCAGCACCTGATGCTCCAGCAGCAGGCAGCTGAACACCTGCAGCAGCTGCTGTGGTCCCAGCCGCAGCAGAGCGTCACTCACAGAGAAGTCCAGCAGGGGGAGCTCTGCTGTCCCGGGACGGTGACACCACACAGGCTCATACACACCCTGCACCTGCACCGAGAGGCCAGGAGGGGGCAGCGGCACCTGGAGGAAACCCACTGTCACACACACAGGCTCATACACACCCTGCACCTGCACCGAGAGGCCAGGAGGGGGCAGCGGCACCTGGAGGAAACCCACTGTCACACACACAGGCTCATACACACCCTGCACCTGCACCGAGAGGCCAGGAGGGGGCAGCGGCACCTGGAGGAAACCCACTGTCACACACACAGGCTCATGCACCTGGAAGACACCAGGAGCAACGCACGCACACACACACATACACACACACAGACACAGACACACGCACACACACAGACACAGACACAGATACACACAGACACAAACATACAGGCAGTCACACACACAGACACACAAAGACACACACACACACACACACACACACAGACACAAACATACACACACAGATACAGACACAGACAGACACACACCCCCACACATACACACAGATACAGACACAGATACACAGTTACAGACACACACACAAACACACACAGACACAGCCACAGACACACACACACCTCGTACAGCAGGTTGTAGATGTAGCTCTCCAGGGGGAGGGGGGGGCTGGTTTCCGCGGTTACGGCTCGGTGCAGCTGCCACAGGAAGTTCCGGTACACGCCCATAAAAGGCAGCGGTGCCAGGATGACCAACGCCTTACACACGTACACCTGGTCCTCACCCAGGGAGACCAGCAACGAGTCCAGGGACCAGGAGGAGCACGGGCCCTGGTCTCCGCCCTGGTCCCTGCCCTGGTCTCTGGACAAGGTCTGGGTCTGGGTCCTGGCCTGGGTCTGGACTCGCTCAGAGAAGGTCAGCACAAAGCCGTAGGTGCGGCTGTAGTCCTCCCTCGTGATCAGGAAACTGTGGAAGCGAGGAGCCTGAGGCTGAGACCAGAACCTCAGACCTCCTGGGACTGAGAGCTGAAGACACAGGACACATTCAGGACCGAGACCAGAGACCAGAGACCAGAGACCAGAGACCAGAGACCAGAGACCAGAGACCAGAGACCAGAGACCAGAGACCAGGGACCAGGGACCAGAGACCAGAGACCAGAGACCAGAGACCAGAGACCAGGGACCAGGGACCAGAGACCAGAGACCAGAGACCAGAGACCAGAGACCAGAGACCAGGGACCAGAGACCAGAGACCAGGGACCAGAGACCAGAGAGAGACCAGAGACCAGAGACCAGAGACCAGAGACCAGAGACCAGGGACCAGAGACCAGAGAGAGACCAGAGACCAGAGACCAGAGACCAGAGACCAGGGACCAGAGACCAGAGACCAGAGACCCGAGACCAGAGACCAGAGACCCGAGACCAGAGAGAGACCAGAGACCAGAGAGAGACCAGAGACCCGAGACCAGAGAGAGACCAGAGACCCGAGACCAGAGAGAGACCAGAGACCCGAGACCAGAGAGAGACCAGAGACCAGAGACCAGAGACCAGAGACCAGAGACCAGAGACCAGAGACCAGAGACCAGGGACCAGAGACCAGAGACCAGGGACCAGAGACCAGAGACCAGAGACCAGAGACCAGAGACCAGAGACCAGAGACCAGAGACCAGAGACCCGAGACCAGAGACCCGAGACCCGAGACCCGAGACCCGAGACCAGAGAGAGACCAGAGAGAGACCAGAGAGAGAGACCAGAGAGAGAGACCAGAGAGAGACCAGAGAGAGACCAGAGAGAGACCAGAGAGAGAGACCAGAGAGAGACCAGAGACAGACCAGAGAGAGACCAGAGAGAGAGACCAGAGAGAGACCAGAGAGAGACCAGAGAGAGACCAGAGAGAGACCAGAGAGAGACCAGAGAGAGACCATCACTAGTTTTCACTTAATGTATTTTTTTAATGAAAAGATCAGATTTTTCAGAAAGAATAGTTAAAAACAGAGGACCACCCTCTCTCAGCCAATCAGCCCTCAGCCAATCAGCTCTCAGCCAATCAGCTCTCAGCCAATCAGCCCTCAGCCAATCAGCCCTCAGCCAATCAGCCCTCAGCCAATCAGCCCTCAGCCAATCAGCCCTCAGCCAATCAGCTCTCAGCCTGAGAGTTGCTCTGACTCTAAACATCTAGATGTTTCTGATGAAGATCGTTGTTCAGGACCCGGAGGCTGAGCTGGGGTTTGCATGTTCTCCCTGTGTCTGTGTCAGACACGGGGAAAGAAAGGAGAGATCCCACATCAAATATTTATGACTGAGACTTCAGCAGGTGGAAAAAACTAAAGCAGGTCTAAAGCAGGTCTAAAGCAGGTCTAAAGCAGGACTAAAGCAGGACTAAAGCAGGACTAAAGCAGGTCTAAAGCACTTCTAAAGCAGGTCTAAAGCAGGTCTAAAGCAGGTCTAAAGCAGGTCTAAAGCAGGTCTAAAGCAGGTCTAAAGCAGGACTAAAGCAGGTCTAAAGCAGGTCTAAAGCAGGTCTAAAGCAGGTCTAAAGCACTTCTAAAGCAGGTCTAAAGCAGGTCTAAAGCAGGTCTAAAGCAGGTCTAAAGCAGGTCTAAAGCAGGACTAAAGCAGGACTAAAGCAGGACTAAAGCAGGTCTAAAGCAGGTCTAAAGCAGGTCTAAAGCACTTCTAAAGCAGGTCTAAAGCAGGTCTAAAGCAGGTCTAAAGCAGGTCTAAAGCAGGTCTAAAGCAGGTCTAAAGCAGGACTAAAGCAGGTCTAAAGCAGGTCTAAAGCAGGTCTAAAGCAGGTCTAAAGCAGGTCTAAAGCAGGTCTAAAGCAGGTCTAAAGCAGGACTAAAGCAGGTCTAAAGCAGGTCTAAAGCAGGTCTAAAGCAGGTCTAAAGCAGGTCTAAAGCAGGACTAAAGCAGGACTAAAGCAGGTCTAAAGCAGGTCTAAAGCAGGTCTAAAGCAAGACTAAACTCTCACCATATTCACAGCGTCCGGGTCAAAGGGGTTCCCCTCCACGTTCTCTGGGAAATGAGCCAAAACTCTGGAGCGAAACGTTCTGTGGAGCAGATCTGAGAGAGAGAGAAGTCAGTCCTGGGTCTACAGCCTCAGTCCTGGGTCTACGGCCTCAGTCCTGGGTCTACAGCCTCAGTCCTGGGTCTACGGCCTCAGTCCTGGGTCTACAGCCTCAGTCCTGGGTCTACGGCCTCAGTCCTGGGTCTACAGCCTCAGTCCTGGGTCTACGGCCTCAGTCCTGGGTCTACGGCCTCAGTCCTGGGTCTACAGCCTCAGTCCTGGGTCTACGGCCTCAGTCCTGGGTCTACGGCCTCAGTCCTGGGTCTACAGTCTCAGTCCTACATCAGTTTCACCTGTATGGTTCTGTGGCTCTTCGTTCTGGTTGGGCTCCAACCGCTGCTGCAGAACTACAAACAGAAAATAATCACTGACCAGAGAGAGAGACCAGAGAGAGAGACCAGAGAGAGACCAGAGAGAGAGACCAGAGAGAGAGACCAGAGAGAGACCAGAGAGAGACCAGAGAGAGACCAGAGAGAGAGACCAGAGAGAGACCAGAGAGAGACCAGAGAGAGACCAGAGAGAGACCAGAGAGAGAGACCAGAGAGAGACCAGAGAGAGACCAGAGAGAGAGACCAGAGAGAGACCAGAGAGAGAGACCAGAGAGAGACCAGAGAGAGACCAGAGAGAGACCAGAGAGAGAGACCAGAGAGAGACCAGAGAGAGAGACCAGAGAGAGACCAGAGAGAGACCAGAGAGAGACCAGAGAGAGACCAGAGAGAGACCAGAGAGAGACCAGAGAGAGACCAGAGAGAGAGAGCAGAGAGAGACCAGAGAGAGACCAGAGAGAGACCAGAGAGAGACCAGAGAGAGAGAGCAGAGAGAGACCAGAGAGAGACCCAGAGAGAGACCAGAGAGAGACCAGAGAGAGACCAGAGAGAGAGACCAGAGAGAGACCAGAGAGAGAGAGCAGAGAGAGACCAGAGAGAGACCAGAGAGAGACCAGAGAGAGAGACCAGAGAGAGAGACCAGAGAGAGAGACCAGAGAGAGACCAGAGAGAGAGAGCAGAGAGAGACCAGAGAGAGACCAGAGAGAGAGAGCAGAGAGAGATCAGAGAGAGACCAGAGAGAGACCAGAGAGAGACCAGAGAGAGACCAGAGAGAGAGACCAGAGAGAGACCAGAGAGAGAGACCAGAGAGAGACCAGAGAGAGACCAGAGAGAGAGCAGAGAGAGACCAGAGAGAGACCAGAGAGAGACCAGAGAGAGAGACCAGAGAAAGAGACCAGAGAGAGAGACCAGAGAGAGACCAGAGAGAGAGAGCAGAGAGAGACCAGAGAGAGACCAGAGAGAGACCAGAGAGAGACCAGAGAGAGAGACCAGAGAGAGACCAGAGAGAGACCAGAGAGAGAGACCAGAGAGAGACCAGAGAGAGACCAGAGAGAGACCAGAGAGAGACCAGAGAGAGAGACCAGAGAGAGACCAGAGAGAGACCAGAGAGAGACCAGAGAGAGAGACCAGAGAGAGAGACCAGAGAGAGACCAGAGAGAGACCAGAGAGAGACCAGAGAGAGAGACCAGAGAGAGACCAGAGAGAGAAATAAAAACACTTTCCAACATATTTTTTTTACAATAACAACTTTATAAAAAGGACCAGAACCAGGAACAGGACCAGGACCAGGAACAGGACCAGGACCAGGACCAGGACCAGGACCAGGACCAGGACCAGGCTGAGTCCATATGTTTTTTGTTGTTGTGTGTGACTCAGAGGAGCAGAGTCCAATCTGAGCTGGAGCCTTGTGAAACTACAGAACAAAGTCCAGGACCAGGACCGGGACCAGGACCCAGACCCAGACCTCATGTCCCTGTGAGCTGCATGTTTGGAGGGTCTGATATGTTAAAGGGACACGCTGAGAACTGGGGGATGGAGACTTCTGCACAGGAGCCTCTGGACCATGAGAATCTAATCCAGACCGAGGATTATGTCATGGGATTAAAGTCTGACGTAACCAGCGCCTGTGTTCAGATGATGCTAACACGCTAGCTCAATGCTAACACGCTAGCTCAATGCTAACACGCTAGCTCAATGCTCAATGCTAACACGCTAGATCAATGCTAACACACTAGCTCAATGCTAACACACTAGCTCAATGCTAACACACTAGCTCAATGTAGCCCAACAGGGAAGTGCTCATGGGGAAGTTTGGCTCCTATTGACTTCCATGTCAAAGTAAACTCCTCTGTCTCAGTAACGTGTGACATCACCAGTTTGGGTTGAAATCTGTGGTTTCTCTGTTTCCTGTATTTATCTGTGATGTGTCTTTGTAAATCCTATTATGATTATGACCATATAAGGACTGACCAATCAGAGGCCTTCATTCAGGGAAACAGTTTGCCTTAGCAACCATCTTAGCGACAGTCTGCTCCTGTTAGCAGAACAAATGCCCATATAAGGCTAACACTGTGGTGATGTCACACTCAGCCCATTCTATGACCACAATACAGCACTGCTGTGGTCACAGCTGCCCTGGGGCAGACTGACAGCGGTGAGGCTGCCATCTGCCATCATTTGAATATTCTAAAATAAATAACAGCACAACCTGTATTAATGCTGCTTTAGTCCCGCTTTAGTCCTGCTTTAGACCCGCTTTAGACCCGCTTTAGACCCGCTTTAGACCCGCTTTAGACCTGCTTTAGACCCGCTTTAGACCCACTTTAGACCCGCTTTAGACCTGCTTTAGACCTGCTTTAGACCCGCTTTAGACCTGCTTTAGTCCTGCTTTAGACCCGCTTTAGACCCGCTTTAGACCCGCTTTAGACCTGCTTTAGACCCACTTTAGACCCGCTTTAGACCTGCTTTAGACCCGCTTTAGACCTAGTTTAGACCTGCTTTAGTCCTGCTTTAGACCTAGTTTAGACCTGCTTTAGTCCTGCTTTAGACCTAGTTTAGACCTAGTTTAGACCTAGTTTAGTCCTGCTTTAGACCTGCGTTAGTCTCTCTTGGTCCTATCAGAATACCAGATTAAGCTGGTGGCAGAATGTGGTCACATGTCTCTGGTCACACTGAGACTGTTGTTCATGTGTTTAGAGGTCGTGGAAACCGGAGCACCTGGAGGAAACCCAGACACAGGGAGAACATGCCATCTCCACGCAGAAAGGCTCCATCTGGAGGTTGAATTGACATATTCCTGTGTCCACACCTGCAGGTGAAAGATAGATCCCTCAGACCTCTGAGGCTAAGCAGGGCAGAGCCTGGTTAGTGCTGTGATGGGAGACGTCTAACAGCAGGTGCCACAGTGGGGCGGCTGTAAAGTGCCAAACTGTGGTTGTGTCCTTAGGCAAGACACTTCCCCCACATCAGAATGAGTCTGGTGTGTGTGTGTGGGTGATATTATAATAATTATCATATTTTTTATTATTATCTAAAGTAACTCGTTACTCTGAACGCTGCGAGGGGTCAAAGAAGTTTTTCGTCTTTTTCAGCTTTAGTGCTGTTTGACTGTTTGACTGACAGGTGGTTGACCCCCGCGGGGTCTCTGTGATCACCGCTTCTCCCGCAACAACAAGTAAGAAGTAAACAACAACAAGTAAGAAGTAAACAACAACAAGTAAGAAGTAAACAACAACAAGTAAGAAGTAAACAACAACATCACCACACGCGGCTCTCACCTCTGACCTCGTCCAGCTCCAGCTCCGGGTCCAGTCCACACACCGCGAAATAGTCCACAAAGCGGCCGCTCATGGTGCAGGGGTCCCGGGGACATGGAGGAGCACACACCCGGGGGAGAGAGGGGGAGAGAGCAGAGAGAAGGGTGAGAGTGGAGAGACCGCGGGAGGACGCACAGCCGCACAGCCGCTGCAGGAGCTCTCTGTCCCCGGAGAAGCCCCGCCCCCTCCGGGACCTGGCTGCGTCCAGTTCCACATCTCACCTCCTTCTCCCGGATCGCTCCTTTTTCTATTTCATTTAAAGCTGAGGTACGTAAAAACTTTTATCACCAGTAGATTTGCTTTATTTATCTACAAAAAAAGTATAATGTGGTCCTGGAGACTAAAGTTACAGACCTGAGCTTTAAAGGAACAATATGTAAAAAATCTGGCCAAAAGTGGTACTGCAGTCACAGTCCATATGTTGCAGTCCTCTCCCTCTCTCCCTGACTCAGGTTGCCAGATACTCACCAAATCCAGCAGCAAACACAGGGAACTATGTTATCAGTTGTTTGTCTCTCACGTTGCCAGGAGCCGTGCTAATGTGTAAGTCCCACATCAGAGACTAACATTATTTTACATGTGGTCTTAAATGATTCTTTAATCGAACCCGGGTTACTGCGTCGTGAGTGCGTAGTTTTAACCATTGGATCACCGATTCACGCGGTGGAACTATCCTGAAGAACGGACTCAAAGCAGCAAGTTTTGCATCACACGTAAACTTTTATAGCTGTTTCAATTGTTCGAAGGCGTCCCGATATAAATCCTCGTTTTAGTCTTTGTTTTGTCATTAATTATTTGAGGGTCATAAAAAGACCTGTTTTAGTTCTGCGCCACATGTTATTTTACCTCTGAGATCAGTGAGCGGAGTTCTGGCAACCCGATCACGGACTTACATGACACTTCCTGATTGGCCAAACAGCGGAGGGCGGGACATCAACATCAAAACAATAACATCTTTTACAGGTCGTAAAACTAATTTTGATTCAAATATCTCTGAACTACTGTTATCAGTTAAAGAGGTGTTCGAAAAGAGCATGATTTAAAAACACCTTTGGAAACATGGGGCCATTTAATGATGACTTGACATGAAAATATTACAGACTGCTACTGTATTGTTACAGCATGTCATTTTTACTCCTGACCGCTAGAGGGCGCTTGTTCTGGGGATTGTTTTAAGTTTGGTTTGTAGGTGGGGCAGAAGTAGGCTGGGAAAGGCTAGGCGGAGTGGTTCGAGGTGATTGACGCGTGGTGGGGGAATGGCGTCGGCGTCTTCGGGCAAATCTGTTCGGAAAAATGCGGCAAAATCTAATCCGATTAACAATCGATCTGAGTCGGCGAGTATGCACGACTGTTCTGTGAGTGGGTCTGCGGTGAACAGTTGGGACGATTTAATTGATTTAGACCAAGAAGAGGAGGAAGTGGAAATGTCGGAGCTAGTGAATGAGCAGAGAAGTGACAAGCGTAAAAGAATGGGTAGCTGTAGCAGTGGAGATGATTTGTCTACACCTAGAGAGAAAACAAAGATGTTTGCCATCGTGAGGTTTAATGAAAAAACGCAAGTAAATATGAAAAAACTAAGTCCGTTTATTTTGACAGCTGAACTGAACAGTAAAGTGGGAGATATAGTCTCTGCTAAAGTCTTGGCAGATGGAAATCTTCTTGTGCAATGTGCAAATGAAGTGCAGCTAAACAAAGCACTAAATTTGAAACAATTTGGAAAGTTTAAAGTGGAAAATGTTGGGAGGGTGGGTGCACGGGAAGGAGGTGGGTGCAAGGGTGTTATCTCTGGGGTTCCCATCAGTGTGAAAATGGATGATCTAAAAAGTAAGATTAAAGGGGGGAAAGTGATTTCTGTGGATAGGATGAAAACAACAAAAGGAGGAACAAAGACGGATAGCGAAAGCATACTGATCCATTTTGAGGAAGAGAGTGTGCCAAGAAAAGTGTTTTTAGGATTCATGTGTTACCCGGTGAGAGCATATGTTCCAAAACCAATGAGGTGCTTTCACTGTCAAAGATTTGGTCACTTTGCAAAGAATTGCAACAAAAGAGGAGGTGTGCGCGGTGTGGTGGAGACCATGAATATGGGCAGTGCGGAGACGGTGTTCAACCGAAGTGCTGCAGTTGTGGGGGGAGTCACAGTGTGGCATATGCTGGATGTGAGAGAATGAAACAAGAAAATAATATTCAAAAAATGAGAGTGGAGAAGAAGATATCGTATGCTGAAGCAGTGAGAGTAACGAAGAAAAGTGTGCAGATTGAACCGGCACAGGATGCACTGCAGGGTCAAAGAGCCCCGCAGATTGACGCAAACTGTATTGTGATTGACAAATTGGCATTAGTTACGTTCATTGCGGGAGTGATAAACGCCACAGCTGATGTGAAATCAAAGCATGAGAAGATTCAGCTCATCGTTAAGGCAGCAGTGAATCACCTGGAATTAACAGGACTGACATGGGAAGAAGTGAGGGACAACCTCCTACATCAGTCAAGTCAGGAAACATAATGTTTTTTCTTTCAATCATGGTGCTTCTCCTTCAATGGAATGCTAGGAGTCTGATGGCCAATGGCCAGGACTTTAAGAATTTTGTAAAAGAACTAAATGTTAAACCGGATATAATTTGTATTCAGGAATCGTGGCTTAAAGCATCTTTGGACTATGTGTTGTATGGGTATAATGTCATAAGGAATGACAGGGACCGTGGTGGAGGGGGTGGTTGTGTGACATTTGTCAAACAAGGCATCCCGTATAGACTATTAGGGAAAGGCAAGGAAATGGAGTATATAACTATTGAAGTATGGGACAAGAAGGAACCGATGGTCGTAGTTAATTTATACAATCCTTGCGCAAGATTAGAGTTACTGCATATTCGGTCAATTGAAGGCTATGATAGCAGTAGAAGTATTTGGTGTGGGGACTTTAATGCCCATAGTACAGTGTGGGGGGGGTACACATACAGATCCCAATGGTGCTGTGATTGAAGAATGGATGGATGAATGCAATTTGGTGTGTTTGAATGATGGCAGGGGCACCAGATGCAATATTGTAAATGGCACAGAGTCTGTATTGGATTTGACTCTAGTTTCGAATGCCCTTGCAGGAATAAGTCAGTGGACTGTTCGGAAAGACACTACAGTTGGGAGTGATCATTACCCTGTATTCTGTTCTGTGGGGAGAAGGACACGGGTTACTCCAAGAGTGGAAATCAAGAAGTTGAGCGTCCATAGAGCAGATTGGGAAAAGTTCAAAAAATTGTGTGAGGAAACAATGTATAAAGTTGATGAGTGTAGTGATGTTGACAACATCAACGATCATTTCACAGAAGTAATCATGGATGCAGCGCAGGCCTCAATTCCAACAAGTAAGGGTAAAGAAAGTAGAGTCTTGGTACCCTGGTGGACAGAAAAGTGTAAAAAAGCTGTAAAGGAAAGAAATCGTGCCTTTAAACTCTTAAAAAGAACCCTAAACATGCAAAATCTTGTTGCTTACAGGAAAGCGGTGGCAGTAGTCAGGAGAACTGTGAGACAAGCAAAGCGGGAAAGTTGGAGAGCGTTCTGTTCTAAAATAGGTAGAACCACTCCAGTAGGGGATGTGTGGGGCATGATCAGGAGGATGGGAGGTGACCGGCAAGAATGGGATTACCCAGTTCTTATCTCAGACCAACAAACCTTTGTAACAGACCAGGAGAAAGTAGAGGTCATGGTGAAAGCGTTTGCTAAGGTCCACAGTTCTGAAAACTTAACAGTATTGGGAAGAGGCAGAATCTGTCAAACTAAGGCACAGTATCGAGAGGCCCTAGGAGTGAAGACCTGTACTGACCTGGGGTTAGATGCAAAATTTTCCCTGGAAGAAATGATAAGAGCTCTTAAGACTACAAAATCTACAGCCCCCGGGAAAGACCGAATTTCCTATTTGATGTTGAAGAACCTTGGTGCGGAAGCGCTTAAAAAACTGTTGGTTCTAATAAACAAAGTGTGGGTGAATGGAGAGCTCCCAAACGCCTGGAAAGAGGCTGTTATTGTGCCAATCCGGAAACCTGGGAAGGATCCATCCAAACCAGGTAGCTACAGGCCAATCGCCCTCACATCAAATTTGTGTAAGCTGATGGAACGTATGATAACTGAAAGATTGTCCTTTGAGTTGGAAAGGAAAGGGGCGTTAGCAAATTTTCAAAGTGGTTTTAGGAAAGCTCGAAACACAATGGATGCGGTTATTAGGCTTGAAAATGTAGTTAGAAAAGCTCAAGCTAATAAAGAGTCTGTTGTGGCGGTGTTTTTTGACATAGAAAAAGCATATGATATGTTGTGGCGGGATGGGCTTTTAATCAAACTACACAAGTTGGGTGTTGGTGGAAGGATGTTCAATTGGATCCGAGACTTCCTTTCTGGCAGGAAAATCCAAGTTAGGATTGGGTCTACTTTCTCTACCCAGCATGTGGTTGAGAATGGAACGCCACAGGGTAGTGCGATCAGTCCTCTTCTTTTTATCATAATGATTAATGATGTTTTTTCTGATATACCTGAAGGAATTGGTAGATCTCTGTTTGCTGATGATGGTGCATTATGGAAAAAAGGAAGAAATATTGAGCACTTGGTGGACAAGGTCCAGGATGCCATAGATAATGTGGTTGAATGGGGATTTGACTGGGGGTTCCGATTCTCGGTGGAAAAAACAAAAATTATGTTCTTCACTAAAAGGAAAGTGAGTGAGACTTTGAAACTAAAATTGTATGATGAGGAAATAGAAAAAGTGAGC